ACTTTATTCTCATATTATTCTCATATTATTTTTACTGCATTTTGGTACAACTTTAATCTCGAAACACTATGACTACATTCTTGTAATATTATGTTTTTATTCTGCTGTTATTATGACATTATTCTTATTATTTTTACTGTATTTTGGTACAACTTTAATCTCGAAACACTATGACTACATTCTTGTAATATTATGTTTTCATTCTGCTGTTATTATGACATTATTCTTATTATTTTTACTGTATTTTGGTACAACTTTATTCTCATAATATTAGGATTTTATTCTCATAATATTAGGACTTTATTCTTGTAATATTATGTTTTCATTCTGCTGTTATTATGACTTTATTCTCATTATTTTTACCGTATTTTGGTACAACTTTATTCTCATAATATTAGGATTTTATTCTCATAATATTAGGACTTTATTCTTGTAATATTTTGTTTTTATTCTGGTATTATTATGACTTTATTCTCATTATTTTTACCGTATTTTGGTACAACTTTATTCTCATAATATTAGGATTTTATTCTCATAATATTAGGACTTTATTCTTGTAATATTTTGTTTTTATTCTGGTATTATTATGACTTTATTCTCATTATTTTTACCGTATTTTGGTACAACTTTATTCTCATAATATTAGGATTTTATTCTCATAATATTAGGACTTTATTCTTGTAATATTTTGTTTTTATTCTGGTATTATTATGACTTTATTCTCATTATTTTTACCGTATTTTGGTACAACTTTATTCTCATAATATTAGGACTTTATTCTCAAAATATTAGGATTTTATTCTTGTAATATAAATGTTTTTTTTCTGATATTATGATTTTATTCTCATATTTTTATTGTATTTTGGTCCAACTTTAATCTCGTAATACTATGACTTTATTCTTATAATATTATGTTTTTATTCTGGTATTATTATGACTTTATTCTCATTATTTGTACTGTATTTTTGACACAACTTTAATCTCATAATACTATGACTTTGTTCTGGTAATATTATGACTTTATTCTCATAATTTTAAAAAAGGATCTTAGTCTGGCATTATACTCCGTCATTCACATTAATTTTAAAAAGAACTTTTATTTTTTGCTGTGAGTGGCACTAACGTGGTTCCATACCCGGGGTCGTTGAGCCTAGCAGGGCGTGCCTTCCAGCTCCGCTGCTACAGGGATACCAAGATGGAAATCCAGGGGCTTGGTGATGCCCAAAACACTCAGTGTCAACATGGCGTCCTACACAACACCACTTCATCCGCCATCGGGCCGACATCAGGGCTGTCGCCTCCTCTCATTCCCACCAGAGATGAAGCAGACAGACCTCGGAGTGAGAGCAGCACCGGGCCGAGGACAGCACCGTTTCGCCTGCTGGTGGAAAACAGCAGCAATGTCGCTTCTTTTCCGCCCGTCTGCAGAACGACCGACGCCGCTCTGGACGACAGGACGTCGGCGGGGCTTCATAACATAAACCCGGACAGAGACAGCGAGCTGAGTTCGCTGCTCGGTTCGAGTGAGTTCGGCAGGACGGGCTGGAGGTACGTGGAAGGCGGGGAGTCTGTCATGGCGCTGCCGCTGTTCGAAGGGGAAGAGGAACTGACGCCGCAGCGGCAGCTAGCCTTAGCTTCCCCGCCTTCACGGCGGCAGCAGCCGCTGGTGGACCGCCTCAAGCCGGGCAGCAGAACCAGCACGGCCGGGAAACAAACACCCGATTTATACCTCGTGTTTAACTCTCTCCAAGAGCATGGAGCCGCCGAGGCGAGGACCGGTCCTCCGGATGACTCCTGTGAGAAGAAGCGGGGAGTGAGAGGAGAGGGGGAAGCCCAGAGCTCCGAGGAGACCAGTCAGACCAGTCCCATGGAGACAGGAGACACCCGTGAGCCGGCCGACAACCAGAGAGCTCTGCAGACACTAAAGACTGCACACCCGGTCTTCAGTTTGTCATCCAGCAGTCCAGCTGTGAGTCAGAACAGTTCGGCTGCGTGTCAGAACAGTTCGGCTGCGTGTCCGAACAGTTCGGCTGCATGTCCGAACAGTTCGGCTGCGGGTCAGAACAGTTCGGCTGCGTGTCAGAACAGTTCGGCTGCGTGTCCGAACAGTTCGGCTGCATGTCCGAACAGTTCGGCTGCGGGTCAGAACAGTTCGGCTGCGGGTCAGAACAGTTCGGCTGCGTGTCCGAACAGTTCGGCTGCATGTCCGAACAGTTCGGCTGCGGGTCAGAACAGTTCGGCTGCGTGTCCGAACAGTTCG